ATCTTCTGCAGCCACACTTTCACTTCTGCATAAGGGCGGTAAAAATAGCTGTTAGGGCAGTCTTGGCCTGTATTTCCTGTTTAGATGAAAATCTCTTTCAGGGAGGCTGTTTTAATGGGCTTGTGCTGCACAAGCCTGGGCCTGAGAGCGTTCACACTTATAAAATCCCTCATCTCCATCCACCCCACAAATCTCTTTTCCGTCAGGTTGCATCCTGCTCGTGAATCTGAGGACCTGTGGGGTTGTGTTCAGTTAAGATACAAAGCTTTTTTTTTATTTTCAGTGTGTTTTGGCAGCACAGCTTGGTGGAGCTGTGGATGCTCTTCATGTCCAGTATGGCTTGAGCTGCCCCAGGTCCTTGTACCTGCCAGCTCTGCTCAGCTGTGCCACAGCTTCTTCTGGTCATGCCAAATTCTTCCCTTTGTCTCTATCACAAAAAAAAAACAACCCATCAGGCTTTCTCAGGGTTCAGTATGTGGACATGACAACCTGGAGGAGACAAGATGTGGGGCTTTCTCCTTCTTCAAAACCTGTCCCAGTCAGCCTGGTACCCTTTAGGGTACCTGCCAGCTCTGCTCAGCTGTGCCACAGCTGCAGGTGACAGGCACCAACGTCACTGTTGGCTGGCACACCCCAGCACAGAGGGACCTGCTGGTGTGCTCCTAAGGAGGCCAGTTTGGGACAGCAAAGACCTTGTTCCCCTTCTTCAAGCTCCCCCAAGGTGGGCAGCAGTGGCTGAATCAGATTAGATTCTGGTTTGCCAAAAGCCCTGAAATTTTCATGCTGGGAGGAATTTGGAGGAGCAGATGTGAGTTCCCTCCTGAGCTGCTGAGAGGAGTTTTGAAACCCTTTGGGGTTGGGTTCAGTTTGGGTTTTACGCAAGCACTGAGAGACCAAGTCCCCTGTTCAAAACCAGTGCTACCTCAGCTCACCGAGCTGCGTTAGCCCAACCTCCCCTCGGTGATTTCAGTCAGCAAAGTGTTCCACAGTTTTTTCTGGCACACTTATCCTGGGTTTATTCATGTACAGTGAGTGCTGAATCCCACCTGAGAACCGTTTCACAAGCAGATGAGTAACCAGCTAGTAAAAGATCTTCCAGATATTTTTGGATCTCTCAGGGTGGAAAGCATGAAGAGCTTTCTAGTGGCAGTGGGCTCTCATCAGGAAACCCATTCTCTCTGCTCCTGGGCCCTATGGACTTCAAAGCTCTTCCCAATATTCCCATCAACTCTCATTTTCATTTCTCATTTGATGGCAGAAAGCAGCATCAGCCAAGCTCTAATGAAGGGCAAGCAAAGCATTTCAGAGCAACAACTAAACATGTCTCAAAGTGCTGTTTCAGGCCTGCTGCCCGGGGAATGTGAAGGACAAGCTGTTTTCCCACCCACGCCGTGCCAGGCCGGCTCAGACCGCGGGGAGCTGCTGATCCGGTGGCTGCAATCCGTGTCCAGAGCTCCCCCAGCCCCCTTGTCTGGTCCTGCAGCCAGGCTGTGTCCTGCACGCTGGGATTGCTTCACTCCAAACACACACTGGTGGGGCTGCTCCCAGAAAAATGTGGTTTCACCTTGCTTTTCCCACCTGGAGCACCTGTCCAGCTCCGGGGCCCCACACACAAGGAAAAGGTGGATGTGTTGAGGTCACTGCTCCCAGGGCTGGAGCCTCTCTGCCCTGGAGCCAGGCTGGGAGGGCTGGGGGTGTCCAGCCTGGAGAAGAGAAGGCTCAAAGTCTGCTTGGAGCCCCTCCCAGTACCTAAAGGGTACCAGGCTGACTGGGACAGGTTTTGAAGAAGGAGAAAGCCCCACATCTTGTCTCCTCCAGGTTGTCATGTCCATATACTTAGCCCTGAGAAAACCTGATGGGTTTTTTTGTGATAGAGACAAAGGGAAGAATTTGGCATGACCAGAAGAAGCAGAAAGCAGATACAGATTTTCCACTACATTTAATTAAATTAATGTAAAATAAAGACATGGGCAGCTCTTGGGCAGTTGTCTGCGTGCTGCTCTGTTTCCTGTCCTTGTTCCCTGTCCCTGAAATCCAGTGGAATGGTAAATAGAGACAAAACTTGTTCAAATCAAACTGACACTGTGGGAAGTGCCATTTCCAAACACTGCTGTTCTCCATTTGATGGGAAAATGTGGAAGGTGCAATATCCTTCCCCATTATTGGCTGGCTCTGTGTTTCTGTTGATCTGCAGCAATAGGAAGCGAGACAGAAAGACAGTTTGTATGTGGGCTGGAGATACCTCCTGTGCTCTCTCTGAGCTGGAGCAGGGGGAGGAAACTGGCACCCCCACGATGTGGGCAACGATTGTATAAACACTGCACGCAGCTGAAGCTGGGGGATGAACCCCAAAGAAAGGACAAGTTTTGGAGCAGAGGTTTCAGTGCACCTTGGTCATGCCTGGAAGGGTGTAAAGCCCATACCTGTCTGGAAATGGTCACGATTTGTTCTGGGGTAACATCTCAAACATTCAGTGTCCAGCTCCCTTGTGCTTTGCATTGTCCAAAAATTCCAGCTGGGGCAGATGAGGTGGGCAAGACATGTTAGAAAGAGGGAGAAAGAAGTGGTTTTCCCAACATCATCGGAAAGCCAGGAGCAGAGCCCATGGGTCCAGCTGATTCCCTGTGCAGCATCCCTGGATCATGCTGCCTCCTGTCGTCCTGCCACCCTGGAGGAGCAGGGCAGCCCGTGCCATGCCATGGAACCCTGGGTTTGGGATGGTTTGTGCCCAAAGCACGAAAGGATTTTTGAGGATGCTGAAACAGCTGCTTCTAAACTGCTGAACTGATTGAAAATCCCACCTCGGGTAATCCCTTCAAGTTAATTTGGTCTTTGTTCCTGACCTGCAATTCAGGGATGAGCTGGCAGTGATGCTCTTGGCACTGGGGTCCCATCCCTGGCCGGCTCCACGAGCCATCCTGCCAGCAGAAAGCAGGAGGGACCAACCTGTCATTTTCTTCACGGCCATTTCGGTTTTGCCTAGAGAAATGTGCTGGTTCCTGAGCTGGTGGCATTGAGGAATGAAGGGCTGAATTCTGCTTTTCCTGCTGGGAGTCAGAAATAGACCTGGCGAGATGATGACTCACCTGGAATTGAGAAAAACTGCGTGGCATCGCTATGAGCTTCAACAGTTAAACCCTGCTGCCAGCCTGCCAGGAAGAACAGACTGACAAAGCAGCAGAGGGCCAAAAGGAGCTGGAGACAGCACCCAGCACCCGGGCATCCTTGGCTGTGTGTGTGAGGGGTGTGACACGCCTGTCCCGCAGGTCCCCCGCAGTGGCACGGTCCCTGCCGGGGGACAGGGGCTGTGCTGGGGCCGGGAGGAGCCCCCAGCCCCACAGCCCCGTGGCAGCAGGGCGGGTGGGCTCCTCCTGGCTCCTCCTCTCCCTGCAGCTCCCGTCCGGAGCCGGGATGATGTCAGGGTTGTCATGGCACCGGTATCTATGGAGCCGGGATCGGCAGCGCGGCGCTCAAACCCAGCTCAGGGCACGGCCCGGAGCCGCGGGGGGAACTCCCTGCGCGCTAATCGAGGCTTTCCCTCCAAGCTTCCTCCTTCTCCTCCTTCCTGCTGTCCGTGGGGAGGGAGCAGGGCTGGGGCTTGGCCTCCTCCCTCCCGTGGCAGCTCCGGGGGCTCCTTCCCTAAGCGAGAGGCCAGCCCCAGCGATTTTCGCTTCCCCGTTCTTGCCCCAGCGGTGAATGTGCAGCAGCACGGAGCGGCTGCCACACCTCGCCCTCTGCTCCCGGCCACTGGCCCCGGCGAGTGGCCAGCAGAGCCCTGGCCGTGCCAGGTGTGAGAGCCCTCCCGGCTGCAGGGCTGCTGAGGGTCCCCAGAGGGTGGCAGCCACCCTTTCTGGGGCTGGGCACAGGAGGGGTGTTTGTTTTAGGGTCAGTGCCCGCAGCAGAGGTGAGCTGAGCACTGTGGTGACCTCCCTGTGCTCCGGGCCATGGCATGGCACTCGTGCCAACTCACAGGGAGCCTTTGCATTGCCTGGTGACACTGGCATGGGATGGTGACCTGTGCAAGGACACCCCACGGCATGCTATCCCCAGGAGGAGCATGGTGACCCTGGGACGGTAATTCTTGGAACAGCACAGTGACCCTGGCTGCTCTGTGGTGTCCCCAGCCCTGGCACAGTGCCCGTGGCCACAGCACAGTGACCCTGGCAGTGGTAAGGTGTCCTGGCTGCTCTGTGGTGTCCCCAGCCCTGGCACAGTGCCCGTGGCCACAGCACAGTGGCACTGCTATCCACAGTGCTCACAGCTCTGCTGTGGTGGCCATGCCCACAGCTTGGTGACAGTGCCTGTCCCACTGTCACAGTGCCTGTGCCCACAGCTCGGTGACAGTGGCTGTCGGTGCCTGAAGCCCCATCCTGGTGACAGTGGCTGTCACAGTGTCACATTGCCTGTGCCCATAGCTCGGTGACAATGGCTGTCACAGTGTCACAGTACCCACAGCCCCATCCCGGTGACAGTGTCTGTCACAGTGTCACATCTCCCGTGCCCACAGCTCGGTGACAGTGCCTGTCCCGCTCTGCCCATGCCTACAGCTGGGTGACAGTGACTGTCACAGTGCCCAGAGCCCCATCCCGGTGACAGTGCCTGTCCCACTGTCACAGTGCCCGTGCCCCCATCCCAGTGCCAGTGTCACTGTCACAGTGCCCATGCCCACATCCTGGTGACACTGTCACATCTCCCGTGCCCACAGCTTGATGCCAGTGTCACTGTCACAGTGCCCGTGCCCCCATCCCGCTGCCAGTGTCTCTGTCACATCTCCCGTGTCCCCATCCCGGTGCCAGTGTCACATCTCCCGTGTCCCCATCCCGGTGCCAGTGTCACATCTCCCGTGTCCCCATCCCGGTGCCGCGGGCGCAGCTCGGTCTCGCAGCGCCGGGAGCGCGCACCTGCCCGTGCCCACCCCCCCACCCCACGGGTGGTTCCTCCCGCCGCCCGCACGCGGCGCTGCGGACGAGCCCACGAGGGAGGGGCGCGGGGGGGGCGGGCCGGCGCGGTGCGCGCGGGGCTCGGCTGGGCGCGGAGCGGGGGAAGATGGAAGGAGCGTCCTTCGGAGCGGGCCGGGCGGGGGGGGCCATCGACCCCGTGGATTTCCTCAAGCAGCCGCAGACCCTGCTCCGGGTCACCACCTGGGTAAGGCGGAGCGGCCGCGGGGCCGCGGGGCTAGGCAGCGGCGGAGCGGGGACAGCGCCCGGTGCGGGGACAGCGCCCGGTGCGGGGACAGCGCCCGGTGCGGGGACAGCGCCCGGTGCGGCGGGCAGCGCCCGGGCGATGGGCAATGCCGGGGCGATGGGCAATGCCGGGGCGATGGGCATCCGGGTGCCGGTGCATCATTCCCGGGCCGGTTCCCGGTGCCGGTGCATCGTTCCCGGTGCCGGTGCATCATTCCCGGTGGTAGTGCACCATTCCCGGTGCCGATGCATCATTCCCGGTGCCGGTGCATCGTTCCCGGTGCCGGTGCATCGTTCCCGGTGCCGGTGCACCGTTCCCGGTGCCGGTGCATCATTCCCAGTGCCGGTGCATCGTTCCCGGTGCCGGTTCCGGGCGCCGGTGCACCATTCCCGGTGCCGGTGCATCATTCCCAGTGCCGGTGCATCATTCCCGGTGCCGGTGCACCATTCCCGGTGCCGGTGCATCGTTCCCGGTGCCGGTGCCCGCTGCCCAGCCCCGCGGGCAGTGCCGGCTCCCGGAGGAGCTGCCCGGGAGATTCCCGGGAGCGGGGCCGGGATGCGCTGCCCCTCTGCCTGCGGTGCCGAGGATGGCGAGGCAGGGGACATTTTCCTGCCTGCCGCGCTCCGTGCATGCGTGTGCGGGTGGCAGAAAGCCGGCAGCGGCCCTGCCCAGCTCCCCGTGCTGCTGACAGGGTGTCGTGTTCGCTGCACGGCTCCCACGGGTGAATTCCCACCAGCGGGCTCTGCAGGGCTCAGGGGAGCCCTTGGTGCCCCGTGCCCAGGGTGCCCCTGGGGCCGTGGTGCCCCGATGCCCAGGCTAAGGACAGCCCTTAATTTGCCTCCCCCAGCCTGGCTTTTGCTGAGATCTGCAGGTGTGCAGCGCTGGGGAGGTCAGGAATGCCAGCTCTTCCCAAAAACCCGCTGCGGGAAGGATCAGCCCGGCTCTCGCCTGGCTCCAGGGCTTGGCTGGAGGCTGTGGGTGAGCCTGGGGCTTGTCCTCGCCCGTGTCACACCTGTGCTGGCCCTGTGTCACCGTGGCAGTGCCCAGCGAGGCAGGGAGCTCACCGAGCTGTGCTGGGAGGAGCAGCCAGCCCCGGCTGCCCTCCTTCCAGCAGGCACAGCCGTGCCTCCGAGGGGCTCTCCGGCCTGGGAGAGGCCCCGGCAGCAGCACATGAGCAATTCCAGCTGCAGTCACATGCTCAGGGTTCAACCACACGCTGCAGTGTGTGCCTGATGGGAGCTGCTGTCCTTCCCAGGGCGTGGAGAAGGCCCACAGCTCCAGTGCTGGGGGAAAACAGGGCCAGGGGTGGATCTGGGGCATCCAGATCCACGGATGTGGTGTGGATCTCGCTGTGGATGGGGCATTTTGGGCAGGCTTGAGGCACAGGGCAGCAGTTGTTTCCTGGAAGAAAACTTGGTTTGGATCCTCCTTGGGTGGCCATGGCAAAGTGCTGGCAGTAGGGTTTGGGTACAGTTAAATAAATCTGCCCCACTGCTGGTGAGTTCAGCCCCTCCTAAAATAAACGTGTCACCTTGCACCCAGAGGGCTCCCCAGCCTTGTGGGATGGAGGGGATTGGACACTGCTGGGAAGGAATGTAGGTACAAAATAAAAATCCCAGCTTAGGAGATATTCCTGTATCTACTCACTGGTTCATTCAGGGGTGAAGTCCCTCCTTTCCTGGCTCTGTGTTCCCAGGGAATCAGTGACAAACGAGTGCTCACAGCTACAGAAATGCATCAGCTTGACTCCAAACAAGTGCAGGGGCCACATCCCAGTGTGGACAAGCTGGGATGAGAGTGCTGCTGTCCATAAGTGTTTGTTTGCTGCATTCAGGGTTGGCCAAAGCCCCCTGAGCAAAAAGGGAGGTTTTGCTCTTTTCACTGGGCTGGGGGAGCTCCCTTTGGAGCCCTTTTCCCAGCTCCCACACTCCCGGGAGGGCCTGTCAGGGTTCATCACCGCTCCAGCCTGGGGGTCCAGAGCCCCAGTTTGGTTGTCCCAGCCCAGTTCCCTGTGTGTTGAACCAGTTCAGCACTTGTGGCTCCTGCCCAGGGTGAGCTGCAGTCACAGCATTCCCCTCCTGCTGCCGTGCCCCGTGCCTCCCTCCCAGGCCAAACCCCAGTCAGCATGGACAGACGGGCTGGGGGAGGCACCACAGGCCCTGCTGGGCTCCCTGCTGCTGTCCTGGGTGGGTGGCAGCGCTGTGGCCGTGCTGACATCTGTGCAGGAGCTCGACCCGATGCCACTCGCTGGTTGCCAGAGCACACAGAGCCTCGCCAGGCCTCCCTGCCAGCCCGGGGGATGAGCTGCCTGTGCCAGCACCGAGCAGCAGGGCGGGTGTCGGGCTGAGGTCAGGGCTGGGGTGGGTTCTTCACGTGGTTTTCCTTCCTGTGCTCGCCGGGGCCGTGGTTAACCCGAGCAGCTGGATCCCACGCACACACGGGAGCCTGCTCTGCCTGTGGGAAAGGAGGAGCTGCTCCTGGGGACAGGAGGAGCTGCCAGGGTGGGCTGCTCTGGGTGGGGGTGATGGAGAAACCCCACAGGGATCTGGGGCCAGCCCCAGGTGCCTGAGTGAGTGACTCGTGCTGATCTGGCCACTGCTGGGGCTTCCCACCACCAAAGGAAGGTCCAGTTCCCTTTTTTTGGGATTCTGTGGCTGCCTGGGGGACCTTGTGCTGCCAGACATGTGGGGGACTGGCAGGTGAATGGTGACCAACACAGAAACCCCCAAATGTCAGCCGTGCCCAAAGGGGATTCCTGGTTCTGCCTCCCCCTGAGAGAGTAATTCTGAGTATCTGAGGGGGAAAAACACCACTCCTGGCTTGGAAAGAACCATTTAGCAGTTCCTCATTCATCTCTTCCCTCTGTGTGTGATGCAGTTTGTCAGATGAAGATGTGATCGCTCTTGTGGTTTCCTTTTGAGACGTTTTTTGCACAGCCAAACAGAGCTGATATTCACAGCGGCTGCCTGCAGAACCATGAGCTCCTCTGCCTGCCACTGCCCGTGCCAGCCAGACTTTCAAGTGGCCACTCAGCTCCGCAGGGCAACTGTTCATTTAACACAGGCTTAGGTTTGGCTTTTGAAAGCAGTTTTGGAAAATTTGGTAAACTTTTTCAGCAATTCCTGTGATTTTGTGCAGAGCAGCAGCAGAAGTGCAGTGCTGGGTGTCATCAGTGCACCCTCACCCCCCAACTCACCCATCCCACTATTTCAATCCATCCCATCCCGTTATCCCATCCCGTTATCCCATCCCGTTATCCCATCCCGTTATCCCATCCCGTTATCCCATCCCGTTATCCCATCCCGTTATCCCATCCCGTTATCCCATCCCGTTATCCCATCCCGTTATCCCATCCCGTTATCCCATCCCATTATCCCATCCCATTATCCCATTATCCCATTATCCCATCCCCTCCCTCTGTGCCTCCCTGGAGCTCAGCAGAAGTGCAGGCAATGAGCTCTGGATGGCTCCTCGGGGGTTTCACTCACTGCTGAGCACTCAGGGCTCTCAGGGAGGAGCTCCAAGGCTGCTCTGGCACTCCAGGAGCCCCAGCAGTGCTCAGAGTCATTTGTATGATCTGAGCCGCCTCAGACTTTGCTCCTGACCACTTTTCAGAAGGGTCATCAGATTTCTGCCTTAATTTTCTCTTTCTGCAGGCCATGGATTAAAGGCAGGATTCAAACTTAACATTTTGGTAATGGAATTATAGGGGAGCTTTGCTGCATCTGAGCTTAAAATGGTTCTGAACTGTCATGCTCCTGTCATCTCTGGTTTCAAGCACTGCTGCTGGGCCATGTGCTCAGATTGCAGGACGAGATTAGGAGCCTTGAATGAACGCTGTGTCTCAGCCAGCATCCCTTACCACATCAGAAAAAATAATTCAGGCAGAATCAGTCATGTGCTCATCAACAGACATCCTCCCAGGCTGATCAGCCTGGTGGACGTGGCCCCACACCTATCAGAGCCAGCATCAGCCCACCCCTTTCTGTGCCAGGAACCACGCCAGGCCTTCCCTTTGTGGCCATCCTGGGATGACCTGGCAGTGCCTAAAGCTGAGCTTTGGTCTTCACAGCCCCCAGGAAATGGTGCAGGGCAGTGCTGGGAGCTGCCCTGTGGCTGACAGCTGTGAGGATAACCTGCAGAGGGGCCTGGGGGCTGAATGCCCCCGTGCCAGGAGATCTGTGCCAGGGGGTCTGTGCCAGGGGGTCCGTGCCAGGGGGGTCTGTGCCAGGGGGTCCGTGCCAGGGGGGTCTGTGCCAGCCCAGGGCTTGCAGGGGCTCAGGGGACGCTCGGTGCTCAGCAGGATTTGCCCTGTGCTAATTTGCCCTGAATTGTTTTCCTTTCCCATTTGGAGGTCCCTCCTTCCCGTGCTGGGCTGCAGCAGGGCAGGGAGCTGAGCAGGAGCAGTTTGGCTCCTGGAGGCAGTGAGGGGTCACCAAACCTGGCTCTCTGCATCCCTGGGCTGGAGCCACAGCAGAGGAAAGCAGCTCTGGGAGTTTCTCCTCATGCAGTGCATCTCCTCCTCGCTGACATTACTGGGTGTGTGACCAAAGCTGGGTTCTGCAGTCTCCTACAACCCCACACCTTCTGCTGCTGTTTTTTATAGGTCCCAAATGCAAGTGCAGCTCCTCAGCAGTGGGAACATCTCACCTTAAAATGGCTGACAGCTCTCAGCTCCTGCTCTCCTGTGCTGTTTGCTTCTTGTTTGCCTTGCCTGGCTCTGCTCAGGCTGCTGAAGCACAATTTAGAGGATGGGCTGCAGAAAGCTGAAAGCAACAGGGAGGAAAACTGTGTGTGTGCTGGGGTCCAGGCTGCTGGAGCTTCAGGAGGGAGCAGGGATCTGCAGAGCACAGCCTGGCAGGCTGGCCAGCCTGCATCCTCCAGGTGGCAAAAATGTGGTGCAGGGAGGGCACACACAGCTCCAGCTCTGTGCACACCTGAAAGGTGTCTCCATCTGGGCACAGCAGGGTCCTGCAAGGGCCTGGCGGGTCCAGCAGAATGCTGGAAGGGTTTGGGTTGGAAGGAGCCTTAAAACCCACCCAGTGCCACCCCTCTGCCATGGGCAGGGACACCTTCCACTGTCCCAGGGTGCTCTGAGCCCTGTCCAGCCTGGCCTGGGCACTGCCAGGGGTGGAACAGAAATGGATTCTCTGGACACCTTGCACCAGAGCTTCCCCACCCTCTGAGCAGAGACACTGTCCCACTGTCCTCTCCCACTGTCCTGTCCCACTGCCCTGTCCCTCTGTCCTGTCCCACTGTCCTGTCCCATTGTCCTGTCCCACTGTCCTGTCCCACTGTCCTGTCCCATTTTCCTGTCCCGCTGCCCTGTCCCACTGTCCCGTGTCCCAGCAATGCTGCCTGGCCTGCAGAGGTGTCTCCTCTTGCTCGGAAGCCAGCTTTAATCTGGAGGAGCTGTGCTGCTGGCCTTCATCAGCAGGAGAGGCCCCAGTTGCTGCCTGGCGTGGTGGAACCCAGCCCCCTTAGCACCAGCAGCCCCTCCATGTCCCCGTGGGTCTGGGGGCTGCTGGCCTTGCTGTGCTGCCCCAGGGTGGGACTGAGGCTCCTCTGGGCGCTGAGGTGCAGCTCTGAATGGAAAGGATGGCAGAGGAGAGCTTTCCTCCTTCCCATTCCCCTGCAGCCACGGGCAGGGCAGCACTCGTGGGCTGCTGGGGCTGCTGGGGCTGATGGGGCTGCTGGGGCTGATGGGGCTGATGGAGCTGCTGGGGCTGCTGGGGCTCTGGAGCTCATGAGAGCTGCTGGGGCTCTGGAGCTGATGGAGCTGATGGAGCTGCTGGGGCTGCTGGGGCTGCTGGGTCTGCTGGATTTGGGGCTCCCAGCACTCAGAAACCCCCACACCAGGAGCCCCCGAGCTGCCAGCACATCCCCATGGCAGCTTTGGCAGGATGCAAGGATGGAAAATGCAATTTCCCACTGGGGTGGCTGGGGATAATCCATTTTCTTGCTGTGCCTTGCACTGGTTCAGCCAGGAAAAGCAGAATTTGTTGGTGGTGGTGTTGGGTTGTTCAGCTGGAAAATGGAGTGTCCTGTGAAGCTCCTGTGCAGATCCTCTGAGATGCTGCTCAGGCCCACCAAACCTCGCTCACGGTGGAAAATCTGACCTTGTGCTTTCCCTTTCAAGTCTCTGATGAGCTGGTCAGGGCTTTGAGCTGCTGTGGTTTGTGAAGGTGCAGGGGAAAATGCACTTGTTCTGTGGGAACTTCAAAAAAAACACAGGGGGTTTATTTCCCTGCCCACGTTTATTTCATCTACCCACGTTTTCCTAAAATAAAAGCACTTTTTCATCTATACTTAGAAAAACAACACCAAATTTATTCTCATTAAAGTGTTTCACCAGCACCAGTAGGTTTTTTTAGGAAAAACCATAACATTACAATCCTGGGGTGAGGGAGAGGTAACCCTTGGAAAAGCACATTTTGACAGGAATATTCCAGGCAGTGCTGATGTTTTGAGCTCATCTATCAAATGTGTGCTCTTGGAATTTGTTGCTCCTTTGGCCTCCCAAGGAAAAGCTGCATGTCCTGTGCTTTGTACACTGAAATTGGTTGTGGGGCTCTCATGGCTTGAGCCACTTGTGTTGTCTGGCAGCAGGAAGGATGCTCTGCTTTCCAAAATCCTTTGGAACTGGAAGTTTAGCAATAAAACATCCTTTTTTAAAATCAAACCATGAACACTGGCAGCCCCAGGTGTGCAAAGCTGGTGCAGGAACCCCACGCCTGTGCTGGGACCTCCTGACTTGTGTTTGTGGGAGCTCTCCCTCCCCAGCAGAGCCCTGGGCTGCAGCAGGCTCCCCGAGCTCGGAGCTGATCCTGGGGGGACTGGGTGAACTTCTCACAGAGGCTGAGCACAAGTTTGCTGGCCTGCCAGAGAAGTAATCGTGTGGAATCAGAGGTCCTCAATTATTCATGCTTTCCAGAATCACATTACTTCTTCCCAGGGCCTGTTTCATAAATGCTGCTGCTATTTCTGATGGTAAATAACAATTTTGCATTATTTATGAGCAGATTTTTACAACTGCTGATGTTACAGCTGCTGCCAAAGCTCTGGGAAAAAAGATTGGAGCTGTTTGTTGTTGTTTCTGCCTTACACACGGCCCCGCCCGTGTGAGCGTGGGGATGGGGAGGATGAGGATGGTGGGGATGGTGGGGATGATGAGGATGGTGATGGGGATGGGGAGGATGGGGATGGTGGTGATGACCACTATGGAGATGGTGATGAGGATGGTGGTGATGATGATGATGGAGATGATGGTGGTGATGATGATGATGATGATGAGAATGGTGATGATAAGGATAATGATGATGGTGAGGATGATGATCATGGTGATGAGGATGAGGGATGGTGATGGGGAGGATGGGGATGGTGGGGATGGGGAGGATGGGGATGGTGGTGATGATGATGATGGAGATGATGGTGGTGATGATGATGATGATGATGAGAATGGTGATGATAAGGATAATGATGATGGTGAGGATGATGATCATGGTGATGAGGATGATCCAGGGAGGAATCCAGAGCAGGATCCAGGGAGGATCCAGGGAAGATCCAGGGAGGATCCAGGGAGGATCCAGGGAGGATCCAGAGCAGGATCCAGGGAGGATCCAGGGAGGATCCAGGGCAGGATCCAGGGAGGATCCAGGGCGGGTTGTGCTGCTCCTGCAGCCTCCCCTCCTGCCTTTGGGAGATAAGAGAATTCCTGGGGCATGCAGGGGGATGGTGTCACCTGGGGCAGCAGCTGCCATCGGCTCCTTCCCCAGATGTGGCAGGGGCATGACAGAGATGTGACAGAGATGTGACAGGGATGTGACAGGGGTGTGACAGGGGTATGACAGGGGTGTGGCAGGGGTGTGACAGAGATGTGACAGGGATGTGACAGGGGTGTGACAGGGGTGTGGCAGGGGTGTGACACCTGCCGTGCCAGCACGGCCACCTGGGCAGCCCCAGCAGCCCCCATCCTTCTGTCCCTCCTGGCCCCAAGCAGGTCACTGGTAATGTATGCAGCAGCTGCACCTTTCAGCCCCTGCTGAAAAATCACCCTGCAGCTACACTTGCCGTGCCAGCATGGCCACCTGGGCAGCCCCAGCAGCCCCCATCCTTCTGTCCCTCCTGGCCCCAAGCAGGTCACTGGTAATGTATGCAGCAGCTGCACCTTTCAGCCCCTGCTGAAAAATCACCCTGCAGCTCCCAGGGCAGGCAGTGCCCCTGTGCCACCTCCCCACACATGTCCCCTGTCCCCTCCAGCAGCCAGCCAGCCCTTCCCAGGCTCAGCTGCTCAGCTGTCCCCTGTCCCTGGGGACTCCAGGGGCTTTGTGGGGCCCAGCCTGGCAGCAGAGAGCAGCCCAGCTCCACAGGGACCTGCCCCACCTGGGGATTTTCCCCTTCCCAGCATGTCTGGAGAAGCAGGTCCTCACCCTGCTCTGCACAGCGGGCGCTGGAAGGCAGGAGCAGCAGGAACACCCAGGTGCAGCCTGGGGCCACCAACCAGAGCAGAGCCAGGAGGTGTGTGACAAACGCCGCGTTGCCATGGAGCACAGGAGGTTGGGGATTGCTGGCAAGCAGAGCTCAGTGCCACAGCAGCGAGCTGTGCTCTCTGCTTGCTCCTGCAGATCTTCTCCATCGTGGTGTTCGGCTCCATCGTCAACGAGTGCTACGTGAACAAGGACAGCCACGACCCCGAGCTGCTCTGCATCTTCAACGAGAATGAGAGTGCCTGCAGCTACGGCATCGCCGTGGGCCTCATCGCCTTCTTCGGCTGCATCTTCTTCTTCGTGGTGGACCTGTACTTCCAGCAGATCAGCAGCGTCAAGGACCGCAAACGCGCCGTGCTGCTGGACCTGGGCTTCTCAGGTACCCTGCTCTGCTTTGGTCTGCTTGGCTCTGCTTGGCTCTGCCCTGCCCAGCCCTGCTCCCTCTGCCCTGCCCAGCCCTGCTCTCCCTCCCTGGGCTCTTTGCTGGGCTCTGCTCCTCCTCTCTGGAGCCTTCCCCGCTCCTCCCGTGGCCTGACACTGCTCGTGTGCCTTGGCTGGGGACAGTGGGGTGGCAGGGCAGCTGTGCCCTGCAGCCGTGGCTCGGGGGCACTCAGGGGGGCTGGGGACAGTGGCGTGTCCTCACTCTGGAGGTGTTCACTGAGCTGGTTTGGTCACCCGCAGGGGTGAGCCTTGGTGGTCACGTCTCAGAGCCCAGCAGGGTTGTGCCTGCCCACACCTCCTGCTCTGGCTCACAGAGAGCAAAGGTGGTTTCAGCAGCTGCCTCGGCTCTGGTTTCACTTCGTGCACGGGTTTGGGGCACAGCAGGAGCAGCTCTGTGCAGCTGGCACTGCCCTGGGACCTGCTGTGCCCTGGAGCTGAGCTCAGCCCTGCAGGCAGAGCAGGCAGGGTGCTCTGGGCTGGGGGGAACGGGCTCTGCCCTCCCTGGCAGCTGCTGCCCTGCACTCCCAGCTCTGCTCACAGCCTGATTTATCCAGCACGAGCCTTGCTGATTGCTCTCTGTCCCAAATGAAGGCATCCATCATCCCCTCCCTGCCTTGCCTGTTGTTCAGGCTGTTCTCTCCTTGCTGCAAAGCTCATTTCCGTGGTGCTGGAGCATCCAGCCCTCGTTAGATAAAATTTACAGCCTGTTCCGTGGGGCTTGGTGCCTGAAATCCTTGGATTCCAGCAGGAGGGGGACACCCCATCCACCCTGTGGCTGCTGCTGAGTGTCACAGAGCCAGGCTGGGCTCCTCCTGCCCCCTGGCAGCCTCAGGGGAGCTGGCACTGCTCCCAAACCCTGCCTCCTTTCTCTTTGTCCCTGCTGTGGATCCGCTGAGAGGGGAAATGACAGAACCCTGGGATCCTGGGGTGGTTTTTGGAAGGGACATTGAAGCCCATTCAGCTCCACCTTCCGCTAGGCCAGGCTGCTCCAAACCCAGTTAAACTCTTCCAGGGACCCAGGGGCAGCCCCAGCCCCTCTGGGCATCCTGTGCCAGGGCCTGTTCCACCCTGAAGAACTTCATGGAACGATGTGGGCAGTAGCTGGATGGTGACTCTGGGGCACAGCCGGTATTCAGGGCTGCCCTGACAGCAGCACTTACAGCCCTCTCTTCCAGCTGCTCCCAGGGACAGGTGAGGCCAGCTGTGACCAGGGTGCTGGCACATCCTCCCGGGTGGTGACACATCCTCCCGGGTGGTGGCACATCCTCCCGGGTGGTGGCACATCCTCCCGGGTGCTGGCACTGCTGTCTGCAGCCCCTGCACGATCCTGATCTCCCGGCTCTCCTCCCCAGTGCTGGAGCTGCTGCCAGGGCTGGGGCTGGCACAGCCTCACCCTCCACTGCCAGCCCAGCCCTCCGGGGTGTTTTAAACCCCTGTCACCCCTCCAGGCACCCCCCCCTACCCTGGCTGCTGTTCTGGGGGTGCTGGCAGTGCCCACCCCTTCTGCTGCGCTGGCAGTGCCACCCGCCCTGGCCCTGGCACTGGGGCAATGCTGCTGCTCCCAGAGCTGCTCTGGAGGGGAGAGGCTTCTCCCTGGAGGCACCAGAGACTGCCCAGAGCTCCTCTGGAAAAGGGAGAGGCTTCTCCCTGGAGCACAGAGCTCCTGGAGGCAGCAGAGACTGCCCAGAGCTGCCCAGAGCTGCCCAGGTTTCTCCATGGAACAGAGCACTCCTGGAAGAAGCAGAGACTGCCCAGAGCTCCTCTGGAAAAGGGAGAGGCTTCTCCCTGGAGGCACCAGGGGCTGCCCAGAGCTGCCCAGGTTTCTTCCTGGAGCACAGAGCTCCTGAGGACAGCTGTGCCTCCAAGAGCTGCCCTCTGGAACAGAGCAATCCTGAGGGCAGCAGTGGCTGCCCAGAGCTGCTCTGGAAGGGAAAGGTTTCTCCCTGGAGCCCAGCACTCCTGGAGGCAGCAGAGACTGCCCAGAGCTCCTCTGGAAAAGCGAGAGGCTTCTCCCTGGATCCCAGCACTCCTGAGGACAGCCGTGCTGCCCAGAGCTGCCCAGGTTTCTCCCTGGAGCCCAGCACTCCTGAGGACAGGAGTGCTGCCCATGCTGCCCAGAGCTGCTCTGGAAGGGAAAGGTTTCTCCCAGGAACACGGCACTCCTGAAGGCAGCAAAGGCTGCCCAGAGCTGCCCAGAGCTGCCCAGGTTTCTCCCTGGAGCCCAGCACTCCTGACGACAGCCGTGGTGCCCAGAGCTGCCCAGAGCTGCCCAGTTTCTCCCTGGGTCCCAGCTCTCCTGAGGACAGCCGTGCTGCCCGGCGCTGCCCAGAGCTGCCCAGTTTCTCCCTGGAGCCCAGCCCAGCCGTGCTGCCCGGCGCTGCAGGTGCTGCTGGCTGCAGGATGGGGAGGTGGGTGCTGCAGAGCGCTCTGGCAGCTGCAGTACCCAGCGCAGCCGTGCTGCCTCCGGGCTCTGCGTGATGTCATTTTAACCCCTGGCAGCCCGCGGTGCCACCCCCGGGGCTGGGGTGGCACTGGGGACAGAGCGGGCAGGGGAGCAGTGGCAGCGTGTGCCAGGGAGGATGAGCTGTGCTGGGTCCAGTGTCACAGGCAGGAGCAACTTCCCTCCACAAACCAGTGCCAGCCCAGGGTCCCTTGTGCCATCCCTGTGTCCCTTGTTCCACTCTCATATCCCCAGCCCCGTGTCCCTTGTGCCAGTCCCATGTCCCCAGCCCTGTGTCCCCTATGCCATCCCTGTGTCCCTTGTGCCATCCCTGTGTCCCCTGTGCCAGCCCTGTGTCCCCTGTGCCAGCCCTGTGTCCCCTGTGCCATCCCTGTGTCCCCTGTGCCAGCCCTGTGTCCCCTGTGCCAGCCCTGTGTCCCCAGCCTTGTCCCTGCTGCTCCCACGGTGTGAATCAAACCTTTGGGAGCTGCTCTTGTTTCACCTCTGGGTTTTTGGCTCCCACAGTCCCCCCGTGTGATCTGAGCAGTGGCTCAGGTCCAAACGTGGGCGCTGGAGCTGCTTCCCCTCCCAGGGAAGAGCTGCTGGGAGAGCCCCTGGTGACAGCAGGGCAGCAGAAACGTCCCCGCGTTAAAGGGTGACCTTTAAGGAGTAAAGCCCAGGAAATCTCTGCCCTTTAGTGCTGGCAACAAGCCACTGTCCTGAAGGGAAGTGAGAATGCTTATGCAGAGATCTGGGTGGGTTTGGTGACAGGATTGGCTGTGTTTGGTGGAGTGTTTGTCATTTGGGAAGGGAAACCTGGCTGATCCTTCCTGTGAAGGAAGGGTTCCTTCCACGGCCAGGCTGCTGCTTGGGGATTCCCAGGCCATGCAGGAGACAAGGAACGTGTCTTAAACTGCAATGAGGAGCAAATTCTGAACTAAAGAAAGGCGAAAATTCTGAATTAAAGCCTTGAGCCCTGCTCCTCCAGCACTCGGTGTGGATGCTCCATTTTGTATCGTGTTTAGGGAAAACTGGCAGGATAAATGTGAATAAAAGGGAATAAAGGAAGGTTCTGCTGTCCCTGCAGTCAGACGGGGACAGCAGCCTGGTGCTCATCCTGATGTGCTGATGATTTTTGCTCAGCATTCCCAACATCCACCCAGAATCCCAGACATCAGGAGTGATGGAGACCCTGACAGCAGCACCATGGGAGGCTCCAGGTGGTGCAGCTCCTGTTCCCAGAGCTGGAAAACGCCCCTGCTGCTGGCCCCGTGTGCTCCTGGCTGTTCCTTGCTGTGCCCTGGGCTGCCTGGCACTGGGCAGGGCTGGTGGCTGGGGGTGGAATTAGAGCAGCTGCAGCCCTTTCTTGCTCAGCCAGCGTTGCTTCCAGGCAGGAATAATCAAATAATCACCAGAGTGTTTCTGCTCAGCTCCACAGCCCAGGGGGATTCTCTGCAGGGATGAGCAGAGCTCTCACGTGTCGTGGAATCACGGAATTGCGGCAATGCTTTGGGTTGGGAGGGGCATTAAAACCATCCCATCCCACCCCTGCCGTGGCAGGGACACCTCCCACTGTCCCAGGCTGCTCCAACCCTGTCCAGCCTGGCCTGGGCACTGCCAGGGACCCAGGGGCAGCCCCAGCTGCTCTGAGCCTCCCCACACTCGCAGGGAGGAATTTCTCCTCCATGTCCAATATAAATCCACCCTCCTTCAGCCTGAGGCCATTTGCCCTGTCCTGTTTCTCAGTGCCCTGTGAAAAGTGCCTCTCCACCACGTCCAGGGAGGCTGTGCTGTCCCTGGGGCTCGTTGAGGTCAGGCTGAGGCTGAACTGAACTGCAGGCAGGGGATTTGCTGAGATGTCCCCACAGCTTCCCTCCATCCCTGGTTTTGTGTTCCAAAAGCTCCTTTTGGGCCAGGCTCCCAAAATTCCTGTTCCTGTTGGAAGCCTTGGTGGATTGTGCAGCAGGAAGGGAGAGGTGCTGGCCAGGGGCAGCAGTGACCAGCTCTGTTCCTGTGGCACTCCTGAATGAATTTGAGATGGGACCTCTGAGTTGCTTTAGATTATTTGATTTATTTTTCTTATCTTCTGCATAGACAGGAAGAGTGAGTTCAGCTCACATCTTCAGTGCATGGCTCAGAAGGTCACAAGACCTCTAGTTACAAGACCTTTTAAGGATTTATTGACCAATAAAACACTTCCAACAAGGATATTTATGCTTTTGACACAGTCCTTAAATATTTTGTTTTATAGACTCATGCTACAGTGTCAGCTTTCTTAGCCAATCAAGTTGACACACAGACTTACAGTACTACACTTTAAAACTCTAAACTTTCTTCTGCTTAGCTTAACTTTAAAACTCTAAACTTTCTTCTGCTTAGCTTAACTTTAAAACTCTAAACTTTCTTCTGCTTAGCTTAACTTTAAAACTCTAAACTTTCTTCTGCTTAGCTTAACATGCCTCTGCTTTAAACCATAAATCCACATTCCCACTTCCAGCACCTGAGCTTGGGAGCCTTTTCCAAGGTCTCAGATCAAACCTTGGGTTTAATGCCAACCTTTGGCTCACAGCCCCAGAGCTCTGAGAGCTCCCTGCATTTGGGATCCCGTGTTCCCCTGCAGGTTTCCTGGCCTTCCTGTGGTTTGTGGCCTTCTGCTTCCTGGCAAACCAGTGGCAGAGGACGACGCTGACCCGCGGCTTCTCGCAGGGCGCCGACGCGGCGCGGGCAGCCATCACCTTCTCCTTCTTCTCCATCATCATCTGGGTGAGGCAGCCGGGCGGAGGGGGCACAGCAGGAACGAAACCTGCCCCGGGTGCTGGGGAGCTGCCTTTGCAGAAGTGAATGCTGCTGCTGGTGGCGAGGGGCAGCGCTGGGGAAGCTGCGGGCTCCCCTCGTGTGGTTTCTCACCAGGGAAGGCTCAGCTCAGTCTGCTCTGCCTGGGGAATTCCAGGCTTCCCTTTCTCCCGAGGCTGGGGGGTTTTGTTCCTGTTGAAAACGTGCTGCCAGCCACGAGCTGCCCTGGTTTCAGGGCCTCCTTGGAGTGCCCAGGAGCAGATCTCTGCACTGAGCAGCTTCGTGGGGTGGCTGGGGGACTTTGGGAGCTCTCAGGCTCACAGCTCCTCCTGGGGCACACCAGACTGGCCTCGCTGCTGTCCACCTGGGGAAGGGGCTTAGAAACCCCCCTTGACCCCACTTTTGGCTCCACCTGGGCAGAGGGGCTGCAGCCAGGGCTGTGTGAAGCCCTGGGGCTCTCCTGGAGGGCTGGGGGGCTGTGCCACGCGGGGCTCCCACCCCAGAGCTGTGTGGGGAGAGGCAGGGATGGCTCTGGGTGACCCCCAGCCTCCCCTGGGCACAGAGCCCCGGGATGTGCCCCAGTTCCATGTGGCCTCCAGAGAACTGGGAGTGCCAGGCTTCCCAGCAGCGCTGCAGCCTCGCTCCAGTTCTCCCCCAGTTTCACTGCTCTGTGATTATCCCCATAAATCTCCTTTAATCCCAGCTCTTCCCCATCCCTCCCAGCTGGGGGGATGTTCCCCATCCCATCAGCATCTGCTGCCAGCCCGGGAGGGCCGTGGGGACACCGCTGTCACCCTGTGCCACCCCGAGGATGGCCGCGGTGGCTGGGAAGCCATTCCCGGCCTCCACAGGCGTTTCCCAGCCTCCTCAGAACTCACTTACAAACTAATTGAATTGTTAATGAAGCCTCCTTACAGGCGTTTCCCAGCCTCCTCAGAACGTTGCTTACAAACTAATTGAATTGTTAATGAAGCCTCCTGGAAGGAGAGCGAGCGGGGCCCTCCCGGCTCTGCCGCCCACATTTCCCACCCTCAGCAGCCTCAGTTCCAGCAGCCTGGCAGAGGGTGAAGGAGTCTCGGCACAACTGACCCATTTTCCTGGGCTGCCTCTGGGCAGCTCCCCTCCCCACAGCAGATGTGTTTATTTGGGCCAGCAGTGCCAGATGGGCACGGCCAGGGCCCCCAGCCCGGGTGGGGCTCTGGGGGTCACCCTGCCCCTCAGAAATGGCCTCTGCAGGGTTCACTGGGGTTTGGGGCTGGGCTGGCTCGTGGGTACGGCCTGGGGGTGCTGCCGTGGGCTCGGTGCTTTGCAGGGAAGGGGACATGTGGGGTGCTGGGGGGTTTCAAGGGCCTGGGGGTTTGGGGAACTCTGAGAGGACATGGGGTAATGGGGAATGTGTGATGCTGGTGAGACACAAGAAGCTGGAGGGACATGGAGTCCTGGGGGTTTGGGGGACCCTGAAAGGACATGGGGTCCTGGTGGGGTTTGAGATCCTGGGGTTTTGGGGGATCCTTGGAGGACATGGGGTCCTGGGGGAATGTGAGGTCCTGGGTGTTTGGGGGACCCTGGGAGGACAGGGGGTCCTGATGGGATTTGAGGTCCTGGGGTTTTGGGGGGTCCTTGAAGGACATGGGGAATGTGTGATGCTGGTGAGACACAGAATGCTGGGAGGACACGGGGTCCTGGGGGTTTGGGGGATCCTTGGAAGACATGAGGTAATGGGGGAATGTGTGATGCTGGTGAGAGACAGGATGCTGGAGGAACACGAGGGATTGGGGGACACTGGGAGGACAGGGTGTCCTGGTGGGATTTGAGGTCCTGGGGATTTGGGGGACCCTGGGAGGACATGGGGTCCTGGTGGGATTCAAGGTCCTGAGACTTTGGGGGGTCCTTGGAGGACATGGGGAATGTGTGGTCTTGGTGAGACACAGGATACTGGGGGGACACGGGGTCCTGGGGGTTTGGGGGATCCTTGGAGGAGATGAGGTCCTGGTGGGATTCAAGGTCCTGGGACTTTGGGGGCACCCTGGGAGGACATGGGGAATGTGTGATGCTGGTGAGACAGAGGATGCTGGGGGGACACGGGGTCCTGGGGGTTTGGGGGATCCTTGGAGGAGATGAGGTCCTGGTGGGATTCCAGGTCCTGGGGCTTTGCAGGGTCCTTGGAGGGCATGGGGAATGTGTGATGCTGGTGAGACAGAGGATGCTGGGGGGACACGGGGTCCTGGGGGTTTGGGGGATCCTTGGAGGAGATGAGGTCCTGGTGGGATTCAAGGTCCTGGGGCTTTGGAGGGTCCTTGGAGGACATGGGGAATGTGTGATGCTGGTGAGACAGAGGATGCTGGGGGGACACGGGGTCCTGGGGGTCCTGGGGGTCCGGGGCGGTTCCGGGGTGCCGTGGGGCGGCAGCCGTGCCCGCTGTGACGCTGTCCCCTCTGTGGCTCGCTGTCGCAGGTGGTGCTGGCGCTGCGGGCGCTGCAGCGGTACCGCCTGGGCACGGACATGTCCCTGTTCGCCACCGAGCAGCTCGGCACCGACCCCAGCGCGCCCTACCCCGGCTACCCCGGCGGCAGCAGCGGCGTGGAGAGCACGGAGACCTACCAGAGCCCCCCGTTCACCGAGACCTTAGAGCCCAACCCCAAAGGTTACCAAGTGCCAGCGTACTGAGAGGCTGCGGCGGTGCCACCCCCGCCCTGTCCCCGCTGTCTCCAGCCCCGACCCCTCAGTCAGTGCCGGGTCCCTTTATTAGCTCGTTGTGCAGTGAATTCTGTACAGTGGTATTGGTTCTTGTCTTACCTGTCCCCGGGTTTCTAAAAGCAGTGTTCCCTCTAAGCCAGCAGGAAGGAAGGTTGGTGCCGCATCACCTACAGGTGGGGAGGAGGAGGAGGAGGAGGAGGAGGAGGAGGAGATGCCCCCTCCGAGCTCTGCTGGGAGAGCCCAGGACGCCTTTTCCTCCTAGCAAACAGCAGCTGAGGAGTTCTTATCTCGTTCTTCCAGAGCTAACACAGAATCCACCGAGGGTGGGTGGGCAGTGGGGAGAGCTGGCCCTGGCTGCTCCCACTGCAGGTTCCAGGAAAGTGCCAAATTCACAGGGAAATCAGTGGGGTCTGTGTTGTTTTCCTTTGTATATACTTGCTGTACAAAACAAACATCCAAACAGGTGTTTCCAAACTTGGTTTAGAGGCTCAGGGGGCACAGCAGGCCGGGGTTGGGGTCAGTATCCAGAGTGCTTCTATGCTTCAGCGGGTTCTGGTTGAGGATTTAAAAAGTTGCTGTTTGAAATGGAAACCAGCAGGAGCTGGTTGCTAACTGGGAATAGCCTGAGATCAGTGGGGATGTGTCACTTTGTGGTTCTGTTTCCTCGTGGGGAGTGGGAAATGTGTAAATTCCTAAGGAATTTTTGGCTGGCAGCGCTGACACGTCCTCACCCTGGGGAGGTGAGGGCCGAGGTGAGGGCTCAGACTCGACATCCAAGGCCATTAGGAGCAATACTGCACTTGTGTTTTTATCCTGGGAGCAGCCTCCGTCTGTCAGCTGCAGCAGAACCCGGGTGGGGACGCGTGTGCCACCCTGCAGCCTCCAGGAATGAGGGATTCAGGCAGGGAGCTGGGAAGGTCCACAGGCCACCGGAGTGTGGGGTCACACCCGAGTTGGGAGCTGGTGTGGGAAGGGTCAGTGAAAAGCACCCGGGAAGGAGGCTCAGGCTGGGCTTCAGCTGCACGGAACAGAGGAAAGGACAGAATGTAAAACCCAGCAGGTCCCTGCCAGCCTGCCAGCCTTCCCTGCCCGTGTGGCAGCTGGTCCAGGCTGTGGCACCGAGGGTGGCACTGAGGGCTGAGCAGAAACTGGAGTTCCCAGCCCTGGGTGGCAGCTCCATCCCTGGAGGCTCCAGTGCCTTGTGGCCCCGTGAGGAGCAATAGCCACCACCTGTCCCCTCCCTGTCACAGGCCCTGGTCGCCCTGGCCACAGCTCATCCTGCTGCAGATCAGTGTGCTAATTAACGAGCAGCAGAGAAATGCACTAACGAAGCAGCCGATATCCCCAGGTCACTGCCAGAGCGTTCCTTGCCTTGGCTCCAGGTCCTGGCTGTGCCCAGCCCCTCACAGGGGCCTGACCACGGCCCAGTGCAGGGTCAGCCTCAAGGGATTCCGGGATCTTGGTGGTTTTGTGGAGTCGGTTTTGCTGGGAAAGAAAAAAAAAACCCCGAGGATTTTAATACAGGGTAGGGTGGAACTGTAGCAATATTTTCCTTAGAGGGAACACTGAAACTTTAGCAGCACAAACAGTACTTGTGTTAATATTTTAGCGAAATTATAATCAATTTAAATGTTTAAATTGATTGTACGTGAGATAATGTTCGTTGGGTACAGTGTATTTTTTCTAACTATAATATAACTGTTCCAGAGTTTCCGTGTAACCGTGAAGAGCTAAAGCTGTGTCTGCCTGTGGGACACGTCCTGCCCCGCGTGCCCCCGCTCAATATTACACGCTCTGAATGTCCCCCCAGGCCTGCATTGCCTTTCTTTGCCCCCACACGCACATCCCACCACGCCCTGACCTTGGGGCAGCAGCAGGGACACAGGGACGACACCAGCACAGCTCCTGGTGCTTCCCAGTTTCCTTTTCCTTGCTGCTGTGCTGGGCAGGGAGCAGGAGCAGGGCTGGGTGCCCCAGGGGCTCCCTGGCAGCACAGGAGATGCTCCTTGATGAAGGCAGAGCTGGGAGTAATTAACCTGTCCAGCCTCATCACTCAGCAGCGCCTGGAGGGAGGCGAGCCCTGATCCTCTGCAGCCAAAGTGCCCCGAGCCAGGCAGGGCAGGGGTGGCACCTGCTGGGGTGGCACTGGGACAGGCTGGAGCCACAGCTGGAGTTTTTCCAGGGAATAGCACTGGGCTCTGTCCCATGTGGCCGTGCCAAGGCCGTGTCACCAGGCAGGACGGGACAGCCCCAAGCTGCCTGGCCGTGCTGAGAGCCTTCACCCACCTCAGCCTCCCTCTCACAGCCCCGTCTGGGGCATCTGTCACGCCTCACGGGGGGACACCCGTGCTGGAATCCTGCCCCACGCCCTTTGGGAGCCCCCCAGTGTCCCCACGGTGTCAGGTGTCCCTGGCAGTGTGCCCCTGAGCAGAGCAGGGTGTGCAGGGGGGGCTGTCACCAAACACAGCCCGAGGGGACAGGGCTGGAGAACCAGAGCTGCAGGAACCCCGGGCTGCTGGGGGTTCAGGGATTTGGAACATCAGTTTCCCTCTTTTCTCCTCTTTTTCTCCCAGCTGTGCTGCAGCAGCACTCACCCCCTCGTAACCACCCAGGCCACATCCTAGAGGATGCCAGGGCTGGGCCAGAATTGTCCCAAAATCATGCCAGGACTGTCCTGAGGGTGCCAGGGCTCTGCCATCCTCACAAGCTGTTTGCAGCCCTCTGTTCTCCCCACAGCTCAGCAGCACCTCGAGCTCACAGGGGGCTCAGCTGTGCTCAGTCCTGCCCAAAAGCTTCTGCACAGGGTTAGCACTAAATTTGGGTGTGAAGAGTGGAATTCCAGCATTCTGCCTTTCCTGGAGCTGCATTCTGCCCCACCCATCCCCTTGCTCCAGGAGGCTCTGTCACACCACCACTGCTCTCAGCACTGAGGTGACCACATCATGCACTTCAAGCATATTTAAAGATTTGGAATTTTTGCCAACATTTCAAGCTGTTCCTAGCAAAGGTGGAAGCTTTGCTTAAGTGCTGTTCAGTAAAAAACATTCTCCCCCTGCAGTGCCTGCTGTGCCAGGGGCTGCAGCAGACCCTGCGAGCAAACCCCTCCCTTTACAGGACATTTGGGATCTCCTGTGCCTGGACACTGGGCTGAGATTCCCACCATTTCATGCCACAAGGAGTGGCACTGCTGTCCTGCTGCCCATCAGTCCCTCAGTGCTGCCCTGCACCTTCCCTCCCGTGCCAGCCCGAGGCACAGGGCTGCCTCTGCCCTCTGCTCCTGGGGAAATGCCATCATTGCCCCATGCAGAAGTCTTCTCCCAGTGTTAATAATAATAATAATAATAAACACACTGCTGTGGTTCAGACCCCTCCCAGCCCGTGCTGGCCCCAAGCAGTGGCTCTGGCTCCCTCTGGTCCCATCCTCAGTTGCATTTTGCCCCCGTGTGTGTCACAACCCCTCTCCCCCTCAGTGAGGCTCAGGCCCAGCCCTCACTGCCTCAACTTGAAGCCCCAGCTCAGCTGCCTGGATTTTGTTGCAATACACATTCAAACCTCAGCTCCTTTCAGAGTTTTAATCTCCAACAGCTCCCACTGAGGGCTGGGGAGTTCAGTTTCTTTGCCAATACCTCTGTCCGAGCAGACGCTTCCAGGAGTTGCAGTTGTCACTAACCTCTGTGCAGTGTAGTATAAAGTGGACTGTGTATGGAAATAAGTTTAAAATGTTTACAATTTTGTATATATTATATATATAAAAATATCTTTTGAGAGAACAATCTGTGATTCTGTATTTTCGGTGTCTGTGTAACCAACTGCAACTTATTTTCAATAAAGAGCTAAAAATGAATAGAAAAAAACCATTTTTGGTAATATCTTTATTGAATCAGGTGAGCACAAGGAACAAGGAAACTGCAACATCAGGCCCCAGAGATGCAGCAGCTCGAGGGAACTCCCAGCAGCACCTCCCAGGGAACTCAGAGCTGCTGATGGAGAAGTAACTGAAACCCAAGGGAAGACAAGATGCTCCTGCAGGGAAGACATTTCACTCCCTGAACTTTACAAACCAAAGGGAGGGGATGGCATGGGGAGAGCTGCTGACTGGAAGTGGTGGCAGCAGCCAGCCCCCTCAGGGGCCAGGAACAGGGACTGCCAGGGGCTCGTGCACCCAAATCACCCTCCCAGCCCCTTCTGGGCCAACCCCAACGTGCACAGGTGGTCAGAACAGTCTTAAATATTCAAGAAAAGAAACCCAAAGCACTTTGCAGCCTGAGAGCAAGCAAAAATAACACATGTAAGGCAAGGAAGAGTGGCTGTAGGCAGGAGTAGCTCTTGGGTAATACTCTGAGCTCGATTTCATAGAAAAGATGATGCTAGAAAAGCTGTGTTTCATCACTACAAATTACATAAATTCATGTCAGCTTTATTCCTACACGTCAGAAATAACTAAACCTGGGGATGGGAGAGAATCAGACACTGAATTACAGCCAGGGGGGACTCCTGGCACTCCATCACCTCAGAGCTGCTGCTGGAGGAGTCACTTCAGAGGAGGAAGAGATCCCCCTCTTCCTCTGAGGTGGAATTTGGGGGTGCCAAGGAACAGGAGCAAAGCTACGCCAGCCCGGTGGTACCGAGGGAGGTGCAGGTGTCAGACTACTGTAAACAGATAAATGCACTTAAAGGCACTGCAGAAAACATGGTCAGTAATCAGCAGCATTTAATGTCCCAGGATGCTGTTGGGAGCTCCCACCAGTAATACATCCAAGAAATTAGAAACATGGCAGTCATTTAAATAAAATTCCCGTGTGCTTTACGCAGAGTAAAGCCTTAATGCTGTTACTGTACATGCAGGGCTACAAAATCAGCTTCTTGAAAGAACTTTACAGAAAAAGTCAGAGGCAACTTCAAATCTTGCACAGATCGGCCCAATTCTTCAAGCAGCAGAACTGACTCTGTTTGCAGAAAGGGAAACTCTGCAGCCCAGTGTGTGCAGCCCTCCTGGTCACACACCCCAGTGAGCAGCACTCTCTTGCACCTTTTACCCCTGACTAGTGTGATCTTCACTGAAATAGCACAAAAAAAATCAGAATGTTATAAGGGAAGCCACCTCCATTCATTTCAGTGACCCGTTAACTTCCCCCACCCCCAAACCAGAAAGAAACCCCCAAACCAGAAGCTTATTCCCCTGTTGTGTCCCCTGTCATTCTGCAGATCCAAAAGGATTCCCAGCTATTGCATGTTCCAGGAGGAAGGAGCCCTGCCTGCCTCCCCCTGCAGCTCAGCCTAACCCTAGCCCAGATTTGGGAGCTCAGACAGTGGGTGGGGACGAGCTCTGGCCCATTCCTATGATCCCTTTGCCCAGGAGAGCTTCCCAAATCACCTGCTCCTCTCTGCCTCAAGGGCACCAGCCCCCAGCTATGCCAAACCTCGTTCCAAAGTGCACATCCACAGCCAGGGCACGGGTGGTGGCCCTGGGGAGAGCTAACTGATGATCCTGCTGATGGCCTGCAGCGAGGGGAACTCCTCATCCTCGATGTGCAAAGCTTTGTGGGTCACCACGTCCTGCTGGGTCAGCACCTGCCTGCACGTGGGGCAGATGGAGCAGTCGAGGTCGCCGGCGGAGTCCGTCTGCCAAACATTCTTTTTGTTCTTTTTGGGTTTGTTGGAGCTTTGTTTCTCCTTGATCCGGAAGTCGTTGTGAGCAGAGAGCAGTTCCTGCTGCTTGGCTGTGTCTGGCAGCAGCACCAACAACTCCTTGAAAATCTTCTTGAAGTTTTCCCCCAGCAGTTCCCGGCAGCTTTTGTAATACTGAGCTGCAGAGATCAGCCCCTGCAGGGGACAGAGAAGGGCAAGAATCAGAGGAAAATGAATATTTATCTATTAAAAATCCCACTGGAATTCAGGCCTCCCTGAAAGGGAGGCTTTGAGAAGCCACTCACCTGCCTGAACTGCCCAGAATGGGTTTTGAATTTATTGAACTTGGACTCGTCGCTCTGAAGAAATTCTTTAATGGATTGTATGAGCTGGATGTTCCTCTGCTGGAAGTTCTCAGGTATCAAGTATGATCCATGACAGGATTTTGTCCTGTGTTGGAAAAGACCAGAAGTGACCCTGACACTGGTTTGTGTCACACAAAGATGTCCTGGGACATAAATCACAAGGCTGTTCTGGTTTGCAGCTGCACATCTTTCCTCCACCCAGCTACACAAAAGCAGCACACAGCTGTCTTGTCAGGATAATAAAATATGGGATTTCCCTATCAGATTCCAGCTTTACACAAACAGAATGTTTAAAATCCAAGTTTAACGTGGTCCTGACGAGCTGGGTGCACTCAGAAGACCTGAGCAAAGACCTCACTGTGAATAAACCAAGAGATAATGCAGGTTCTGTATGAAACTGACACAGAGTTTTCCCTCCCCTTTTCCCAAAAACTCCTCTTTCTGTCCCAGAAGGAACCAGAGAGCAGTTCCTGGAAAGACCAGAGCAGTGAAGGTCACCAAGGAGAACAAGCCTCAGCACCTTGCTGCTGGGACTCCACAGAATCGACGGGAAGTCAGGAATGTGTTGGAGCTGCAGATTCCCAAATAAATCTAGCACAGACCAAGGTCTGAGCAGCCAAAACATTGCACAGGTTTGCAGTTCCTCAGACTTGTAACTACACAGGGCTGTTTTATGCAATTCTCCTGAATCCAACCCACAGCACCCTGGGACTTCCCAGGGGAACCTTCCCCTGGCTGGCCCCTCAGAGCCACCCCCTGTGTGCTGTCTGAAGCCCCTGGCACCAGGGACGTGTGAGGTGTCCCACAGCCC